TGGGCATCGGTTGCTTGGCCATGTTGATGGCTGTCTCTGTTAAAGAAAACTGCCCTCCTCAAGGTGAACTGCATCTGATGATGGATCAAAGTGGGACCGTCCAGACTCTTCTCTCCCTCACAACTCAGGATAGCTCTGAAAAGGCATTCCAGTTTCAACAGTTATTTTGAGGGGAAGTTCATCCACTCCCTATAATCCTATTTCACCCCCCCCATTTTCTACTGTCATGGAAAATCCCTATCTAAAAAGTTTCTGATCAGTAAGCCACTTCCCAGAGACTGTTTCTGAAAGGTCTCCTCTGGGACAATCACTGAATCACCTCCTTGGACAGGAAGCAAATAAGAGTGAAACTGGCTCCCGGTGAGGTGAGAGATGTCCTGAGCTGTCACATGTAGACTTGATTCTTGAGGCAGTTGTGAGCAGATCTTTATGGATTAGAGTAATTGAAGCTGTTGAAAATACTGTAAGAGGGACTGTGGAGGAAGAGGCAGGGCATGGGCAAATTGTTTAGGCTATCAGGACCAACAGTAGAGATCTAACGTAAGGAGTCACTGACATGGACAACTGACAGAGAGTTCTGTTGTTGCAAAATGGAGAGGCAGGGAAGGATCCTTCAGAATCAGCAAGTTGAACACCTGATTGTGTGAAGCAAGTGGGGAAGAGAGTAAATGATGAAGGTTGGGTTTGATACCCAGGGATTTAGATGACAGAGACAGCCTGGGAGAGGTCTTGATACAGAACACAAAGATCTGTTTCATTTGGGAGCTGCTGAGGTTGAGGGGATCTAGGCAAAGGAATCTAGGCAAAGACACCTGCAAGCTAGTGCAATGGGGGTATGGAGTTCACCAGTAAGATTCAATTGGAAATACTTGCTTGGGAACTATGTGTAGACTTTAACATTTGAGTCAGTTCAAGATACAACTTAAGCCATAAAAACATGAGGCAATTCATATGGAGGGCTCTCATCCAAAAAGGAAATGGAAAGAGCTGGGGAGAGGAGGCTGAAACATCTGGGGTGAAATAAGGAATAATGTACAGCAAGAAGTCATTAATTCCAGGAAGTGTTTGCTGTGTGCTGAAAGAACTGGATGCTATTGTTCACAAGAACAAAATGTATTCAGAGAGGGTGAATTAGATCCTCCTTCTGAACATGCTGCAGAATGAATAGGGGTTTTTATAGAGGATAACACAAAATGAGGTATGTGAAAAAGAAAAATTTAGAATGAAAGAACTTTTGATAATATCTCAGCTATCAAGACCAATTTTTAAAAAGAAACATTTACTTCTACTACTATGGCTATAATTGAATTTTCTAAAGGCCAAAGCTGAAATGGCAGCATTTTGGCCTTCTAAAATGCTATGCAGTGACACTCCAGTACTTATTAGAAGCCAAATTTGATTTATCAGCAGACAGATTGTTTATCAATAAAATTACAATAGCTCTTAGCAGAAAAATATTATTCTGGGTCACTATGACATAAAAGGAGGAGAAGAGGGCAGAGGATGTGACACAAAGAAAGTTGTTATCAAGCTCAAGTCTTCAAATTACATCCTCAGAACCATTCACAGAGGAGGTGAGATGCTTAAGACATCTCATTGGGCACTTAGTATTTTGAGAGATGTGAATTGAAAATAAGAAATAAAAGGAGAATGTAGAAAGGAGTTCACACAAGGTCATAGCTCTGATTGAATGGCATTGAGTTCTCAGAAAGTTCCATAGCCTTTCTTTTCAGTGCTTTGTGGGAAGCCATATTCAATTTGCCATGGTTAGAGATGGAGAAATTATTTTTTTTGTTCATTGAAAGTTGGAAAATAAGAGCAAGCCTTGTATTTATATGAGACCATGCACTCAGATGAAAGGAAGGAAATATAATCAATTCGGCTCATTTGTGCTTTGTTCTCAGGATCTATACTGAGTGGACTGCTGCCATATGGAGTAAAAAGCCTCCAGCGTTTTACAGATGGATGAATTGCGGACAAGTGTCCCTGGAAGTTCTTAGGCTTCCTGTGTCTGTATAATTTCATCCCCCAGAAAGCCAAACAACTGGTGCATCAATCAATTGCACATCATTTTTATTAGCAGACTATAACAAATATTTGCAATACAGGCTATCTCTCTGGCTGACTTGCCTGCAATAAATTATATTCTTTTCCAATGCTGGGAAAGGAAATCAAGGCTTTGTCTGTGCCAGGCAAGTGCTCTGCTGTTGAGCTGCATGTCCACTCCTCCTGCAGCATGAAGGCAGTTTGCCAAGTAGCTTTATAATTTGTTTGATTAAAATACACACACACACACACACACACACACACACACACACACACACACACACACACTCACAAATATATATGTATATATATATATG